TTTTTTTTTTTTTTTTTTTTTTTTTTTTTTTTTTTTTTTTTTTTTTTTTTTTTTTTTTTTTTTTTTTTTTTTTTTTAATGTTTTTTCGTTTTCAATCTTGAGTTTTCTGGATCTCCATCTTATGTCTTCTGCATTTTGGTTATGATCAAGGATTTGGAAGGATCGGTCGCCTTGTTGCTAGAGTGGCCCTGCAGAGTGATGATATCGAACTTGTTGCTGTTAATGATCCCTTCATCACCACTGATTACATGGTAAGCTTACGGATTTACTCCTAGATTTTTACGTGTATGTTGTTCTGATCTAGATCCGAAGTAATTCGGTCTTCTGTAGCCAGCCATTTCCGTAACACACGAGTATATAGTTCTTATCTTCTTTAAAGATAGTTTCAGTCTTTGAATCCAAACCTCGTCCTCCGAATTTTAATACTTGTCTAAGGACTGGAGCTTGATTCTTATGTTTCTGTTCTCGTCTATTTGTGTTGGATCTTTATTTGGCTCCCTGTCATTTACATTGCACAATTGCAGACCTACATGTTCAAGTATGATAGTGTACACGGCCAGTGGAAGCACCACGATATCAAGGTTAAGGACAGCAACACTCTTCTCTTCGGGGAAAAAGCAGTCACCGTTTTTGGCATTAGGTATTTTTATGATCTTTCTTCTTTTACTTCGATTTTTTAGCGAGCGGACAGTTAAGCATTTGTTTTTTCTAACTATCTGACAATTAAGCATTTTTATTCATTAGGAACCCGGATGAGATCCCATGGGGAGAGGCTGGAGCTGAATATGTGGTTGAATCCACTGGAGTTTTCACTGATAAGGACAAAGCTGCTGCTCATTTGAAGGTTTGTTGAGTATAGTTAATACGCATATTCATGATTATCTATGTATTTTTAATGTTACCTCTAATGTTGGTAGATGTAGACTTACCTACTTTCAAGATTTGATATTATCATTTTCACTAGGAATAGCCCTTTAGCTGGAGTTATTAATACAATACTTTAGAATTGTTTTCGGAATAAACCTTCTTTGTTAAATTTCAATGGGTTTTCCTTTTTAATTTACTATCATATTTCAATGGGTTAGCAATGTATTTGGTTCAAAACCACTGCCTGGTGTTAGACTCTTTTATTTTTGAAATGATATAACAATTTTTTTTATTATACATAATACCTTGGTGATTTCTGATGTCTTTAATACATATATTTAGTTGTGAGAATAAATCCTTGTTTAGGTTTATGCTTCTCATCAACAAAGTATATCTGGTTATTTCCACTAACTAGATTCTCGGATAAGTTTTCAGGGTGGTGCAAAGAAGGTTATCATCTCCGCACCAAGCAAGGATGCCCCGATGTTTGTTGTTGGTGTGAATGAGAAGGAGTACAAGGCAGATCTCAACATTGTTTCCAATGCTAGTTGTACTACCAACTGTCTTGCTCCATTGGCGAAGGTAGTTTAATCGTTTTAGATAATTGGTGCTTAATTCATTTTGAAGAAATTATAAATTGACTTTTTCAGAAGTTAACCTAGCTTTATGCATCAGGTTATCAATGATAGATTTGGTATTCTTGAGGGTCTCATGACGACTGTCCATTCCATCACTGGTATGTACTATCCTCCTCCAAACGTCCTTACTAAATGTGCAGTAAGTTCTGCAATTGCTTACCGTTTTACTTATGCAGCAACCCAGAAGACTGTTGATGGACCATCAATGAAGGACTGGAGAGGTGGAAGAGCCGCTTCCTTCAACATCATTCCCAGCAGCACTGGTGCAGCTAAGGTAGTTTTTCAGGATTTACGCATGTCCTTGTCATATCCTCTAATCCATTCACTTATTCTAGTAACAAATTTAGCTTGCTTATACACTGATTCCAAAATTGGATGTTTCATTTATTAAATAATTTGACTAAGATCATTGCTTTTACTCATGCGTAGGCCGTTGGTAAAGTTCTGCCTGCTCTAAATGGAAAGTTGACAGGAATGGCTTTCCGTGTTCCCACTGTTGACGTCTCTGTTGTTGACCTCACTGTTAGGCTTGAAAAGAAGGCCACTTACGAAGATATTAAGGCTGCCATCAAGTAAGAACCAACGAATGTTGTAATTTCATAATGAACTTGATTCCTACGAATGAGAATTTCTCCTTCATGCTAAAGTCGAATTTCTTGTTTGCTTATCAGGGAAGAATCAGAGGGCAAGCTGAAGGGAATTCTTGGGTACACAGAAGATGATGTTGTTTCAACCGACTTTGTTGGTGACAGCAGGTCAGTGGTGTAAACAATGCATTATTCCTTACGGTTATTAATTAAGATGTGAATTTCGTATATATCATTTGCTATTGTTAATGTCACAGGTCTAGCATTTTTGATGCCAAGGCTGGCATTGCTTTGAACGACAACTTTGTGAAGCTCGTCACTTGGTATGACAACGAGTGGGGATACAGGTAGGAAATTATCTGATTCTTGTATGCATTGCTTTTATGGAACTGCGGAATAAGACATTAAATTTGTTTTTTTTTTTTTTCTACACCTATGCAGTTCACGTGTGATCGACCTGATTCGTCACATTAGCTCTGTTCAATAAATGCGTTCTCTAAGATTGTGAAGGTGGGGAGTGTTTGGATCTGTGGATTTTCTCAACTATTAGGCCCTGAGGTTCAGAGCAGGGATTTTTAATTTTAGCGTGGAGTTTGAATAACCGGAGGATTAGGGATTATGATGAAAATTTTGTTGGAACCTTGTGTGTTTGTGGCCTCCCAATTTCTTTTTGAGGGACGGATTTGGAATCCTGTTTTTTCCTTTCAAATGATAAGTTGGCACTTTTTTTATTGGGTTTATCCATTCTTAATTGTGCGCCATTATGCTCTACAAATAGCCCTTATTTTGAAACTTGATCCTTTATGCGAGTATGGAATTTTTTAAAGAAAATTACCTTTCCTTATTTTCCGGGTTTGCAACTCATTTCAGTTTACAGACTAAAAATTGAAACTCACATATGACGAGCCCAAGAAAAGAGAATCTACCATTGTCACATACGTGATGTTCGTAACTTACTTCGATGCTCAAACTAAAAATTACAACTATCAATTTATTTTAAAGTTGTAATTGAGTTATATTTAACCAATAGAAGTATATAAAAAGGATGCATGTGTATTGGAAGAACAATTTGCAATGGGAAAGTTTTCTCTTTTCTTGCTTTCATTGAATATGAAAAGAAAGTTATTCCATTGTTGGAAGTAGAAAGTAGGCACCCAAAAAATGATTCATTATTTGCAAAAACAGCGCATACCCGAAGCTGCTGTGTGGAGTGGCGAAGTCATCGGCCATTCTTCCTTCACACTCTTTCTATTGGACTCGGAGCTTCACTTGCATATGATTCGGATATTTTCTAATCTTTTATCGTTGGATTTGACTTGATGATGTTTGTTGGCATCTTTCTGTAGCGTCCATTGTTCCCCACCAGTTTGACTACAACAAGATAGAAAGAAAGAAACATCACTAAATTTAACCATCAATTATTTGAACCCACCAGAAGACAAGACAATGGTACCAAAATGGTTATGAAGTGGGTCATTGTTACACTTACACAAGTGTTATGAACCCGATGGTGGGGTAAAATTTACAATCCGATATGTAAAAGTGAAAAGTGTAGTATATACCATAGAGATCCATTTATGCACACATTTTTGTTTGACACGCCCATGTGAAGGTGCCCTAAAAGCAAAGAAAAAGAGAGGTGAGATGAAGTGGTGCATTATTGGTGTTAAAAGGAAGCTAAGAAGGCAGGTTGATTAACAAAAAAAAGTGAGTGGTTTTAAAGTTAAAAGCTGCTTACTCACATGCCTCTCTCTCTTTTGCTTTCGCCGTGGCTTTGGCCACCCCCCCATTCCCTTCCCCCAATCAACACCAAATCTTCCTCTTTATTTTCCTCTCCCCCCCTCGCACATACATTTAATCACATCATTTCCTTTAAACTACTAATTTTATAATTAATCCACAACTATTTTAAAATCCTTTAGCTAGAATTCAAGACTGTATAGATAAAAAAAATAACAGAGTCTTAAAACTTTCTCATAAACAATTTTGCAAACTGAGAAATAGAAAATTTTTAAAAATATTGTCATGAAACCAAATATGAATCAAATCAGAAACATCCACCGTATTCTAACTAAAACTTAGATCAAATTAACAAATAATGCAAGTGTGATGTGAGATCTCTTTTGGGAAAAAAAGTCCATTATTATTACTCATTACTTCCTTTTCTTTTCTTTTCTTTTTTATTTTCACAAAAAATATTAAAAAAAGAAAAAGAAAAAAAGCTTTTCTCGCTCTCCCCCACTGATTCTGCTTGTTTCTTCCATCATTGCATCTTCCAACATCGCTACTAATGTCAATGGTACGGTTATGTCTCTTACATTTTTTAATTTATAACTTATTATTTTCTTATCTTTTAAATCAGTGAAAAATTATTTACAAATTCCATATGTATTATACGTTTTATCTTTATTTTCTTTCTATAAATTATTAGGGAGTAAATTGGGTTAGTTTATACATTTATAATATTTTATATCCGTTAATTTTTTAAGATTTATAATGTCTTGCCGTTCATTTTCAATTTAAAATTCAGCGTTATTTTCCGCCATTGAAACGCCATAAATCTGTTCGAGGAGTTACCAGTATTTGGTTTTGCTTCCATCTCCCTCACCGTTACGACCTTAGTTCAGAGCTTTTTTTCTTCCAAGGAAAAAAACAAGGCCTGATTCCTTTTTCCTGAATTCAAAGCTTTTTCTGTTCCCAATAATGGCTGCTCCACACCCTTTCTCCCTCTGTCATCTTCTTTGATTTCCCGCCAAATCTCTCGTCTTCAACCTTTTTCCAACGCTTCCACTGCCCAACAGTTTCGTCTTTCTCCTTCTGAATTCCCTTTTTTTGTGCTAATTTAATCGAGGGTCTCTCTCAAAACTCGCAATTTTTTTGTTTATATTCTAAAGGGATTTCAATCTGTGGCTTTTTTGTGCCTCTTTCTGCTATTTATTTACTTATTAATGCCTCCGTCGTATTTCCCGCTCCGGTGGGAGAGCACCGGCGACCAGTGGTGGTACGCTTCTCCGATCGATTGGGCGGCTGCCAATGGTCATTATGATTTGGTCCGGGAGCTCCTTCGGTTAGACAGTAACCACCTCATCAAACTCACATCTCTCCGCCGGATTCGTCGCCTCGAGACCGTTTGGGACGACGAAGAACAGTATCACGATGTCGCAAAATGCCGCTCTGAGGTCTCTCGAAAACTCTTACTGGAGTCCGAATCAAAGAAGGGGAAAAACTCCCTAATCCGGGCTGGCTATGGCGGGTGGTTGATTTACACCGCCGCTTCCGCAGGCGATTTGGGGTTCGTTCAAGAACTGCTCCAGAGAAACCCTTTACTTGTTTTCGGAGAAGGAGAATATGGGGTCACTGATATCCTCTACGCCGCCGCCCGGAGTAAGAACAATGAAGTATTTCGGATTCTATATGATTTTGCAGTCTCCCCGAGATTCTCGACCGGGAGAGATGGGATTTTGGAGGAGCATATCGGAGAGATTCCAGCGGTTTATAAATGGGAAATGATGAACAGAGGTGTTCATGCCGCCGCCAGAGGAGGTAACTTAAAGATTTTGAAGGACCTTCTTGCGGATTGCTCCGACGTGTTGGCTTGCAGAGATGCCCAAGGATCTACAATTTTACATGCAGCCGCTGGAAGAGGACAAGTCGAGGTAATCATTGTTCATAGTAGACCTCCATGGTAATCTGATACATATTGAGAATCTTTAGCAAATTATAAGTATAAAATTGCCAGGGATTTGTATGTTAAGTTAGAACTTTTAGGAGTGAATGAAAAGAAGGAAGTTGATGTTAGTGTCGTAATGCCACACCCTTCAATGCTTTGATACCATTTGTTGTACCCAAATGCTATAACAAAATAATTCTGATACTCAATTGTTGTAGCGGAAGTAGGAGAAAGATCGATTGCACTCACACACTCATAAATAAAAATTAAATAAAAAGACACAAAAATTTACATGGTTTGGAGAGAAGAAATTCCCCTACATCTATGGATAGTAGTCAATCACGGTAATCAAAGAGTTTACAAAGTGTATCTCACGCTACAAAATCTCTCTTGCAAAATTCTTCCCGACATCAATGGAATTGTTTGGCTACTGTATGTGAGAACTGAAACATTGTTGACTATTGCAGGTGGTTAAATATCTTGTCCAAACTTTCCCTATCATCAAATCCATAGATCATCAGGGAAACACAGCCTTGCATATTGCTGCTTGCAGGGGCCAATTGGCTGCAGTTGAGGCTCTTATTGCAGCATCTCCCTCATCCATCTCTCTAAGAAACAAAGCTGGTGAAACTTTTTTGCATAAAGCCATTTCTGGCTTCCAAACTCCTGCTTTTCGTCGACTTGACCGACAAATTGATCTTCTGAAGAATGTGATTTGTGGCAAAGTTCATAACATGGATGCCATTATCAATGCCAGAAACAACGATGGAAGGACTGCTCTTCACATGGCTGCCATTGGGAATGTTCACTCTGATCTCGTACAACTTTTGATGACTGCTCGGTCCATTGACTTGAACGTTCGAGACATGGATAGCATGACGCCGCTTGATTATCTTAAACAAATTACACATTCTGCATCAGCCGACATATTAATAAGGCAGCTGATTTCAGCTGGAGGAATGTTTGGTTGTCATGACTATAAAATGAGAAAGGCCATAGCTTCACGGATGAAGATGCAGGAAATTGGAAGCAGTCCTGGGACCTGTTTTCGAGTCTCGGACAATGAAATATTGTTGTATACAGGCATTGAGAATGTGTCGGATATCATACCGGATCATGGCAGTGCAGGAATGAGCTCTTCCTCAGTTGAGTTTAGTCCATACGATTCAACAAATGAGAATCCCAACACTTCATCAACTATTAAGAAATCTGGTTCTGTAAACTCTGCAGCTCAACGATTGAAAAGTGTCTTCCATTGGCCTCGAGTCAAAGACAAGAAGAAAAGTGAGACGTCAAAGAAGCAAATGGATGAGGGCTCCATTGAAGAATCACAGAAGAAATACAGCAGTTCAGATGAAGCTCCACCCCCTTTAAGGCAAAGGTTTTCAAAGCCATTGGCTCTTCCCAACAACAAACGAACACTTTCAGTTAGGAGCAATCAATCGAGCCCGTCTGCTAAGAAGAAACATGCTACTGGTCTAATGCGCGGAGTGGCTCAAGGCATGCCACACATAGTCATTCCCCATCGATCCCGGTCTAGCTCATTTTCAAAATCATCACTTTCTTCACCGGGGTCAGTAGATAAACTGAAGGGCATTTGTTTTGACAGTGATGGTGCAGGCCCATCTTGTTCAAACCAAGCCATTGACAACCAAACACCGAATCTCAAGAAACAAGGCTCAGTGGATAGGAAGTTGAGGAGCCAGTATTTCTGTTTTGGTGCAGGAAGCCTAATTGGGAAGACCACAGTTAGCAAGCAGCAGCAGAGCCAGAGTTACAAGCTTCCAGTGGTTTCGGTAACGTAGACTACGAGAACAAGACGGGAGACGAGCGAAGTCGCTGTCAGGACTTAACGTAGAAGAAGAGGATTAAACTGAGTAGTAAGTGCCAAACTGTCTGATGTATAAGTATAACACAGTGGTTGGATTATATGATTTCAATAGCTAAGAGAGAGAGTCAACTTCAAGTAACTTACTGAAATGGCTTGTAACTTGCTCAATCTTTTCTGAAAGCGACTGATCTCTAGTCGTTTGTGAGTTTGTTTGCTTTTACAATAGGTGCTTCTATTATTGAACTCATAAAAATACTTAATAATATAAAGTCGTCATTTATGTAGTGATGAAATCTTGGTCCATACATAGGAGTGGGACCCTGGCGATAGTTGACTGGCTTGTAATCACATCGTCAAGGAATGTAAAATGGTGGTACTCCCCTTTCCACAACGTGACGCCCACGGTTGGCGCTGGCGTGCTCATCCTCCGGTCCGCCATGGCTTCACTGGGGTGGGGACTGGCGTGACGAGGCTGGTAGTGTCGTGAGTGGTGGCACTGTACACGCTCTGGCATACACAGGCCACAACGTGGTGCTGGAGATTCAGACCACAATCCCTTCCATTCCCGATAAGCCATCCAAAAGGCCCCATGTGGAGAGGTGTCATTGGTGCCTACTTTGTCGTCGCCCTCATCGGCTACTGGATGTTCAGTTACTCTGTCAAAGACAACATTCTTCACTAGTCTCCCTCGAGAAAGCCTGTGGCTCATTGCCACCGCCAAACATGTTCATCCTCGTCCAAGAAGAGGATGAATAATTGCATGTAAAGTGATGCTCTTCTTTCGCAATGGGGCCCAATAAATGGAATTATTCATGAACTCAGCGTGTCCCTCTTGATATATGTAATATTAGAATAACTTTTATGAAAATATTTCTTCTGATTGATACAGTAATATATGTATATATATCTATATTATTGGGAACGAGTATTAAGAACTTGATGATTTGATTTAATTTTAAAAGAAATATGGTTAATTCGATTTGAGGTTGATATTTGGGTTAATTAATTTGATGTCTAAATGGTTAATTGGCTCAGGGTTGAAAAGATGGATTTAGGGAAGGAATAAAGTGGCATGGATTGAATAGCAATAAGCGGCACATGGGTGTGCGTGAAGGACCAATCCCATCGCTCCATTTTTTGTCCAACCCCCCCAAACTCCTCCTAAATCTTTTCCTAGATCCTCCCCCAAATCCCACCCTCCACGCGTCCCCATCTCCCAACTCCCGCTCCACGCGCGTCTCACCGTACGCGCTCCCACCCTCAAATATCTCATCTCCCGTATCTCACACGCGCGGAGGAGTGCGATCGGCTGCCAATTCTGTCTAATACCGAACAACCACGTGTTGGCTCTCTGGAACCTACCAACTAAAAATAAATATTAAAAAAAAGGGAGCTTCCCACTTCACGCTTCACGGAACATTACGCTTCCCCCAAGGCCAGCCACGTGTGCCCTACCTTTCGGCAGTGCTTGACACTCCCTCAATTCCTATTGGTTCTCCGTGGTCCCCACTTCCCCAAACAGAACCCAATTTGCTACCAGATTTGCATCTTTCTCCTGCTGGGTCCCACCTCTATTAGAAAACATATTCAACCAATTAACGTCGCGTCACTGTTTCTGTTTCCTAGCCATACAGCCACGTGTCCTTTTTTCTTTTTTCCCTTGAATTCTCTCACCCTTACTACTGTGCTTTCTTTTGCTTTTCTCTGGTTTTTCTCCTTCTATCTCTATTATCATCATCAACAACATGGCTCTCTCTGTCACACTCCAAAACGCGATGCCTTAACTCCGCTTATCTTTTCTTTCTTCTTTTGTTTTTGTTTCTTCGTTATGGATGGTGGTGGAGCAGCGGCGCGCCCCATGCTTGGATCTTGTGGTAAGACGATTATCCATCCGATAATGATGAGATTCCGCCCGATTGCGCCTAAGCCTGTCGTCGGAGGCTCTGTTTCCCTTGGTACATCGTCAGTGGACAGTAAGACCTCCTCGATTTCCAAACCACGGACGAAGAGGAAGTACGTTAGGGTTAGGAGATATAATAGGAAGAAGAAAACTACGAGAAACACCACCGGCAGTACCGACGGTAACAAAAACGGCGAGTTCGTGGATCGTACGGCGCCGCCGACGACGACGACACTGCAACTGCTACCGGAGCGACATATAGAGTTGGTTGGCGGTGGCGGCAGATCTGAGTGGTCGGAGAAGAAAAGGGAAGTTGGGAGGATGGAAAACGACGTAGTATTGGTATCAGATCCGAAACGTGGAGCGTTGGAGTTGTGGGTAACGGTGGAATGCGTGAGGGAGGCATGCATGGATCTGGAAGTGGAGGAGGGAGAGATAGGGTGCACGGACGAGGAGAGGATAAAGAATCTAGATGAGGACACGTGTCCAGGGTTCGTATCGAACGGGATGAATAGAGTGGAGTGGTTGAACAAGGCATTCAAGAGGATGGTAAGGCAAAAAAGGCAAAGGCAAGAGCAAACGAGAAGCGGGAGTGAGTCAGGAGCAGCAGAAGTAGCGGTGTGGTTGATATCAAACCCAAAACTGGGTATGACCAGCCGAGTATTTAGCTGCCAAATAAAGCTGCAGTTCAAAAGAGACACCGAAATGGAAAAGGACTCCAAAGTGGTGCCCTGTGATGCCTGGAGATTGAACCGCGGTGGATTTGCATGGAAACTAGACGTCAAAGCCGCTCTCACTTTGGCTCCTTTTCTTCCAGAGGATTTTTATTGAAATTTGAGGTACCATTTCTAAGTCCCCTAAACTCTTACCCAATCAAACCCTAAACCCACCTTTTTGTTTTCTTTTCTTTTGCTTACCAAACTAAAACTCCTCCTAATCAATGCCTTCCCTCTCCAACCCCATGATAGGGACATTGTGTTTAAACATTTTGAAAATTGTGAATTATAATAATAAACTTAAAAAGCATCAAATAAAGCTGTTAAAGTAGAATTTAAGGAACCAAATACTGGAATAGTAGGTATATATCCATATCCTTCAATAATAATAACAATAATATCATTGTTTAATTAAGAATCTCATTTCTTAGTTATGTGTTTGACTGTATCAGCTAGCATGAAGGATGGGAGTTGGCACCCAAAAGTGTAAGTCTAAATAGGTAATAAAATATGCAATAAAGAAGGCAGTAGCGAGAGCATTATGGGTCACCAAGCAACCAACCACGAACTTGGATCGAATCATCGCTCATTAATGCAACCAACCAAACCAACAAACAAACAAAAAAAAAGTACATAAACTGTAACATCTTTAAATCTCGAACTCTGCAACGTCGCCACATTTCCTGTTTCTGTGTATACCATAATATAGTTTTTACATTTTTCTTTCCCAACTCAAATTCATGACTCAATTTTTCCTTTAAGTTCAATGTTCAATCCATTTTCATCCACTTCGGGAGGTCCCGACTCTGAGCCATGCATGTCTTATGAAGCAAGATAATACATACATACATACATACATATATATATATATATATTATATGTATGTATGTACCGTGGATTTTTAGCTTTGTTTTCTTGTCACGTTCTTGTCTTCTTCATCATCATTTTTTATAGTAATGATGTGATTAATATTTCCTTTCAAGTTAATTTCGGGGCATATTTTTTTTATAACTATTATTTTTGTCTTCCAATAAAAAAAATTATTTTAGTTATTATTTTTCTATTAAAAATTGTTACATTGTCAATTTATATACTCAAGAAAATATTAGAATATTAATAATTACTTGTACAAGTGATTCTTAATTAGATAATCAACTTTAAATGATAATATTAATGAATATTCTCCACTGGAATTACTAGAATACAATGGTAATTATAATCATATAAAAAGTTTTTAAAAGAAAATATACTTTTTGAAAAGTGAGTGGATGATGCATCTCAGGTTAATTACTTTTTATACATATTTTAATTATGCAAATTATATATATGCAAATGATATTGAAACGGGCAAGGTATATGCAAATTATATTAAATTATATTGAAACGTGACTGAGTAGAATGTCGAAACTATCGAATGCAGTTAAATTGAATCTATAATCGTTAATTTTTCATTCAACCATTTTCTTTAAAACAAGTCTGACAACTTTTACAAGACTTTTAAGGTAATAAAATTCTCAATTATTCTATTGGGTCCATCATCTTAGAATAATTTTATAATCCAAAACACAAGATGGTTGGATGAATATAATTCCTTCATCATACCCCACGACAGCAAGGTCTTGATTTTTTCATCACCTTCATTGAGTTCTTCTCAAAAATATATTCTTCCTGTTCAATCAAAACGGGCTACAAAATTCTCTGGAATTTGAATAACTTACAAAATTAGTCAAAATTTACACTGAACACAAAAATTCAGGTATCTGCAGTTTCATCAATCACAGCCACATACAATCCTAAGCTACCTTGAACATTTCTAGAATCATTTGTTCCCCTTGGTTGTATTCACAGCCATATAAATGGATCTTTTACACAAAACTTCGCCATGCCATTGCAGTTCAAACTTCATCTCTTACTGCCATGCCCGTCCAATGCAAGGTGACATTTGCTAAGAATGGCCGAGTCCTTACTAAACTCCATTCAAGATGCTATCTACAGCGTCGAAAATTCGAGCACATAATGTCTTATCAGCAACACTAATTATAGTCCTTGAATCTTGGATTTCTATCACAGCCTCAGTTGGATCGTGTATGCGTATCACACCAACGTTGCTCGACTCGGCATCGGATTGCTGCAGAGATCCCTCAATACCCATTTTTGATAACACATTCAGAAGCTTTTTCAAATCTGGCTGACCCCAGTGTATTAGTGGCCTCTGATCTGTGGCTACGTGCGCATTTTCAGGGAACAACTTGAATTTCCCACAGTTTAATGAGAGCTCTCCTTTCAACCTTGCGATGTCTATATTTCCTTGCTGCAACTTTCGCCAACAGAAACTCATAGCCAAGTCCGGGGCAATCTCTAATTCTAAACTGTCTTTCAAGTTTGGTACACGTAAGGTTTCGCCTTCAGAGTACGAAAAGACGGTGCATGATTCTGTATTTGTATTGATCAGCCGGCTCAAATTCTCAGGAAGCTACATCAAGTAAAACACAGGGGGACGCAAATGTAGGTCCAGAAAATATATAAACTCAAAAAGAATAATGGGAGATAATGAGTAAATGACTATACTACCATAACAACTTTTGGCTGCAAGACCTTCAGCAACGGTCGTACCTTGTCCAACCTTCAAATAGGATATACAAGCACACAAAATAAGCAAACTAACCAATATAACTCAAGAATTCCACAAGTTCAAAACCTTGAGGAAAAACCAAGAGAAAATATTAGTTTTGGTCTCACTTCATGCCAAGTCCTATTAGAAGCTCTCAACCCTACTGGAATCCAACAAACAATTGTTTGAGAGCTCCAAGTCTTTTTAGTCTATTACACACAAGTGAACTTTAATCTTATCTTCAGGCAGAAATATTGATTTTAGAAGATGGTATCAGATTTCTTTTACTGAGGAGGCGCGGGGGGAGGGGGAGAGTTCGAAGTGGGAGACCAAGCATATTGAAGCAAAAAAAGCAATCCCATCTGTATGTGCACAAGAATAATGGATAGGAGAGAAAACGAGGAGAAACATGAACCATACTTTATACCAGATAGGAATGCACATTGAAGGACCTTCATACTCATTGGCCTAAACGGTAAGAGAGCAAGCTCAGCATCAAGTCCCTTCTGCATATTATATGTTCCCATTAACATCAAAGCCACTGAAGATATGTACTCTTGGAAAGTAAAAAGAAATATTAAGTGATTACAAGCACCTCTAGAACAAGTAACGAGCTGGGATCCCCGCACCAACGTCGAAGCAAATGGACCACCGGACCAAGTCGTAAGCTCCAGTGAGGACAAAATACAACACATGGTTCCTGCCAGTTTATTCTACACACACAGTCAAATTCTCAAAGTTGATCATGGTTCAAAACCAAAATAATTCGTACAAGTTCGTGTCTAAGGTGTTAATAATTATTTAATAAACATAACTTTTTTGTACAAGGTTTACAAATAGTTATTCACTCCACAGAATAAACCAGTTCATATCCGACCACCTTGGATCTCTAATTCTGAAAACTGGCAGGATAAGAAAAGACTTCATAGGCACATAATAGATGGTCCAACATTCCCAAGTATTCATCTTAAATACTTCGGATTTTAAAAAATCTAAACGAAAATTGAAAAAATTGAAAAGTTGAGAGTACATGTGATTAGCACGAAATTTATAGATTGCTGCATTTGCGTATGAAGGTGAGAAGAAAGCTTAGACTAAATCATACAATAATTTGGGTGAATGAACTGCAGGAAAGGCGTGAAGCTTTTTCTCTTTAAGGAGATCGACAAATGCAAACATTGGCTCTCCAGAAAATAACTGCAACACCAACCAATTGTGTGAGAGCAATATTATATCGATCTAATTCGACTAAACGCTCCAAGTAGATTGAAACCATTAAACAAACAAATTCAAACCTTTTCTTGTCTTTGCTTGCATAACCATTCTGGTATAACATTGGCTAATGCCAACAACTCCTCAGCTACAGAAGAAATCAAATATATAGGAACCTACACAATTTAATTGCATATTGGGTATAAAGAAAGCAACCAACAAATATATAAACTAAGCTTCATACTCTGATGATATATGCCCCCATTGTCCTCTAAGCTCTTACATGTCAATTACTCAAACTTTGCCCAATCAGCTAGCATAGGATATCAACTATTGATGGGTTTCTAAAAGAATAACAAGATACGTGGGACTACTTAATTTCTTCAAAAATAGTTTACTAACCTTCAGATTTGAACAATCTAGTGAAGCTGATATCTGCTCTAGAAGTTGCAGGGTTACACCAAGTCGATTGATAGGAATAAGGACTGAACCTCCAGATTCAACAGATTGGATAGCACATGAACAGATAAAAGACAGTTTTTCTGATTCCCCCACGCTCTCAGCAGGATCACTCAATAAATTTGCCAGAGTTTCCTCATTTCTACTAATAAGTACAACGCAAAAACATACCCTCAGGGAAATATTTGATGAATTATTCAAAAGAGTGGGGAAAAAAAATATTTATGTTTAGGAAGACTAGATTTGTAGTGCAAGATACAATTTCAAAGTTGGAGCATATGATACCTGAGCGCCATTAAGTTTTCTGTAAGTGAGCCACTTGTATCGTTCAATATGTCATTCATAGATTCCACAGATGAGAAATCAGAATAAATAATTGTCTCCCCCTGAAGAGCAAGGTAATCAAAATTCATTGCATTGGAGGAAGAAAAGATGGAACTTGAAATATATGCAATGTCTCTCTTTGGGCCATTAATGGTCCAGTTACAAGCGCCAATTTCAAGACCGCAGCTGAGTGCCTTTATAACTAGTGCACCGTTATAGCATGCTTCTTCCCCGTATCTAACAGTTTCAACCTTCTTCATGCAATCCTTAACGTCAGCTGCACTGAGAAAAAGTTCCTTTATTACATGCAAACACATTTATGAACTACGAGTGAGAGCACAAATGCATTGATACTAGTTGTTTTAGAACATCGCAAGTTCCTTACTTAGTATCTTTGGTAATTAACTTGTGAAATACATTGAAAGGCAACATACATATGATCAAAACCCAAGTTGAGAGAGGAGAAAACACAAGTTTCATAAGACCAAAACTATAGTTAGGAAACCAAAAGAAAACAAAGGCATCTTCGTTTCATAACAGGCCATTGGTGCTTACACAACTCTGAAACGATTCCCACATATATTCCCACAGCAGAAGCAACGAGAGGAAAATAATACCCGATAAACAAGAGAGAACCCAAAACCTGATGGTTAGCAAGAGAGAAAGAGAGCAGTAATATATGTGGGCATCCAAGCTAAATAACTAATTTCCAAAAATTACAAAAATTAATTCCAATTGAAAGAAGTCATCCAAGCTAAATAACTAATTTACCTGTACATGGGCATCCAACCGCCAAGATCTGCTTCGTCCTGCCCAAATGCCACTTCTTTTAGCGCATGATGAAGCAGCTCTAGCTCTTCCTGCCTCATCCACTGCGGGGTGGCATCATCTTCAGATCCATAAAACTGTTTGAATTCCATATGCATTGCAACAAGGTCATCCATCATCATTTTTCCAAGTCTTGCTGTTGCTTCCGTCGCATATATCTACGGCAAGTCAATGAAAAATCAAGTTTTCTCCGTAACTGTGAAACTTATAGTGACCTAATTTACACAGCATCAAGTGCAAATAAAATGCTATCATCTACCTTTGCAGAGAAACCCTTCTGTCGGGTCAAAAAGGGAAGTCCTAACATGCCCATTGGACTAGAAATCAAAACAATATCAGTGAAAGAGAGGTTCCAGAGGCGCAAGTTCTTAATGATTTTGTACCAAGGCTCTGCTTTTATCAAAGAACCCACATCAAGTGGCTTTTCAATTTTTTCCTCAGATACATTTTCCAAATTGAAAGAACCATTGCCCGGATGAGTTGATAATTCTTCGTCTGAAATAACATCAAAATCAAGAGGAACAGGGGAGAAGATAGGGAGAGCTGAAAAGTCCATAGGGCAGTCAAATTGGATTCGAAACCCACAGACCTCGAGCATATGACATGGTGGGAAATAGAAGAATCCACCTCTGCTTAAACAAGTCTGAAACCGGAAAATAATACAAATAAAAAAACTAAACGAAGTTTGTTTACTTTCCATGAATTCACATGTATGAAAGCACTGAACTAATATCGCAGACATTGAGAATCAACTTACAAATTCCATGACAATGAAGAGAAGTCAAACTGTCGTCGATGCACTCACAGTTCAGTCGCTAGGCAGTTCACCGTCGTCACCTCTCGGAGGAGTCGCTTCTCGCTTGATGAAGGGTTTTAGTTTTGAGAAGAATATTTGCGAGAAACTATTTAAATGTCTCCTATTTTTACAAACCTAGATTCTCTTTCTCCCTTTTTCTTCCTATTTCTACCAAAAAAACAATCTTTCTGTCTTCCCGGAGCCGTGGTCGGGTAATGGAAGCTCGTAGCAGAAGTCGAACAGTGGCTGTAGCAGCTGCAGGAGGAGTATCTTTTAGAGAAGAAATTGGGATGAAGCTTCTACTTCTCGATCAGTCCTTTCTTTCGTGTAAAGTCAGAATCCGAACGGTGAATACCAGATCGGCAGAAGAAGGGACTGCCCAAGTCATAACGGCCCAACTACATCTTCTGGACTCAGCGCTATGTTCGGCCCAACAAGCTGCTACATTTGAAACTGAGCCCAAGTCATAAGGCCCAACTGGATTTTCTGGACTCAGCGCCATGTCCGGCCCAACAAAATGCTACTTTCGGAACTGAGCCCAAGTCTTACGGCCCAAAAAGCTGCTACATTTGGAACTGAGCCCAAGTCATATGGCACATTAATATTGACGTCAATGGACCATTAAAATTGACGTAAACGGCCCATTAATATCGACGTCAACTGCACATTAATATTGACGTCAACGGCCCATTCCATTATATTAACGTCAACGGCCGATCCCAATTAGTCAAAGGCCCATTTAAATTGACAACAACGGCCCATTATTATTACGTAAACGGCCCATTATTATTGACTTCAACGCCCCATTAATATTGACGTCTAATGGTCGATTAATATTGACGTGTTCGGCCCATTCCATTAATATTTACGTCAACGGCTCATCCCAATTGTATTGACGTCAAAGGCCCATTAAAATTGACACTAACGGTCCATTGATATTGAAGTCGACGGCCCATTAATTTTGACGTCTGAGGCCCATTCCATTAATATTTACGTCAACCGCCCATCCCAATTATATTGACGTCAATGGCCCATGAATATTGACGTCAACGGCCCATTATATTGACAACAGCAGCCCATTAATTTGACGTCTTCGGCCCATTCCATTAATATTGACGTCATAGGCCCATCCCATTTATATTGCATCAATGGCCCATTAATATTGACGTCAATAATCCATTAACATCAATGGCCCATTCGAAAGAAACCGGCGGCATTTCCTGTGTACTATACAGTTTATCTCTTATTTTGAAGAACTTTGACAGAGCATCAGCTTAACCAAGCTACACAGGCATGGCCTCGCCAGCCAAACAAGACCAGCGAAGTCTCTCTCTCTCTCTCTCTCTCGCTAAGCACATCCTCACTTGATTGCATTGATCATCGAGAAACTAATCATTTTTGTAATTATCGTCATTCTGTAATTGGATTGTACTATGAAGTCCTCACAATGTAACTATCAGCAACTTTCTTGCTATACGAGTCTGCAGAAATTTTCCTTTTCTCCTCAAAATATCTTTCACAAGTTTTGTAAATACGTTTTGTTAGCAGTTTCTGTAGCTATGTAGATCATGCTTTCCTTTTTGAGCTAAATTTGCTGGATATAGCTTAATTCTTTGAATCTTCTTCGATTTTGTAGCCTCCAGAAAAAGGGTGGCTGTTGTTGGCGCTGGTGTTAGGTGTGTATGTTGTTATCTCCCATATCCTACTTTTTTCTAGCTTCTGCTTATGGGGCGGTGTTGTTACTGATGAGGCACTGAAATAAAGTTTATGTACTAATTTTTGAGTTGGGTAATGATAGTTCGATAATTTAATTGCATTTATGTTTATGAAGATTTAGTTTGATGGAAGTTTATAATGTTGTCTATTTGTTTTTATTTAGTGTTGACTCGGAAAGTCGAAGCTAAAATCCTTTAGAATTGTGTGACGAGATGGAGAAATAGTTGATCATCTCTTCATTAGTGTTCTTTCCTTTTACAGTTGAAGGGTGGCTCTTTATTTTGATCTCTTTTGACTCGTCTCTTTGCTTACCAAAACGTATTGATGAGTGGCTGCTTGAAGCGCTCACAGGAGGTGGTTCAAAGACAAAGCTAAAATCCTGTAGAATTGTGCAATTAGATCCTTTGCTATGACATATCTGAATCCGCATAAACCAAAGAAATTTTAGGAATAGAGAGGTTCTGGAATGAGATGGAATATCGATGCTTCAAAAAATTCCTGAAAGCTCTCACGTGATTCCATTGTTTTGTTCTTTTTCAATAATATTGTTTCTCACTTTGATTTTGTGTGTATCATGGTTAAGTGGGCTCGCTGCAGCCTACAAATTGAAAGCGCATGGCTTCAATGTTACGGTGCTTGAAGCGGATGGAAGAGCTGGAGGAAAGCTAAGAAGCGTCTCATACAATGGACTTATCTGGATGAAGGAGCCAATACAATGGCAAGCTTCCTTGACAATAATTTGACTAGCATTTTTCTTCACTAGGGCTTATCTTCAATTTTTTGAACTGTCTCAAAATTTTCTGCACTTTTGAATTAGCTGAACTATTTTCTTGAGTCTATGTAGACTGAAAGTGAACCAGAGGTCCAGTGCTTATTTGGTGATCTTGGACTTCGAGAGAAACAACAATTTGTAATAGTTACTTCTTTCTTTATTTATGATAGAATTTAGTTTTCCATTTTGTACATGCATGGAAATCATTGACTGGAATTTATCTAATTAAATTTATTGTTTTCCCTCATCCAGCCAATTTCTCAAAGCAAACGATACATAGTGAGGAATGGTCTGCCAGTACTGGTAAGTCCTTGCTTTTGTGCTTCTAATAAATAAATTAGGTATATCATGAGTTCTTTTTTTTTTTTTTTTTTTTTTTTA